ATTCTCAGTTTATAGCTTTACAGATATTCTGAAATTAGAGAATCATAAAAAGTCTGGGCATGAAAAATTTAAACAGCAAGTGTATGTTACTGTTATACCCTACAGATGTGATGATTTAAAAAGGGTGTCTCAATGTTAAACACCTTAATATTGAAGTTTAGACTTACTATGATGTTTAATACAATTAAGACCCCAGCAGCTCATTACAAATTGAAAGAAATGAACATTGCGCAGAATCATTAGATATGATAAACTCAGTTGCAATTGTGACTCTTCAGCAGCCAGAAAAGAATGCACAACTAATGATCAAGAAAATGCATCACCCTGTAAGGCTTCATATTTTCTAATATTAATTAGACAGAAAATGGGGATCAAATGCAAGAGCGTGTTCCAGATCTGACACCAGAAAATCACTGGGTCAATAATATCCTCATTCCTGGGTCAATATACCTCTGGATTTAGCTCACAGACCATGGATTTAATGAGATATTTTGTAAGAGACCTCGTATAACAGGAAGACAATATAATTTATGTCATTACATCTATTTATTTTAGGCCTCAGCAGCCCTGTCTGGATGGCTGCAAAAAATTTCAGATGGTCCTCATCTGAAGCAGACTGCAAAAGGCTATCATTAAAACTAACAAAATATTTCACACTTATAAAAAACCCAGAAAAAACACAAGGATTTTCTGAGACAGAGGAATAAAATTTGTCCTTCATGTGTTGACCATAGCAAAAGTAAATAAATTATTTCTTTCAATTAAGAAAACATAGGAAAATAAAGTTCACACTTTTTTCCAAGTGATCTCCCTCTTTTTCTTTCTTTAACCATCCTAGAAGTGTTACCAGAATCTCCAATCTGTTCTATTGAAATTTCCACAGAAAGAATTTGTAGCAGTCAGGAATTTCTAGCATCAGATGTCAATGCTAACATTTTTGGCTATTGATTTTGCTGATGGTGGAACTAATATCATGTAAGCAACAACAGTTTATTTGAATGATCTGTTGACAAAGCTAGCACAACCTCACAACCTTGTTGAGCCTGAACAATATTACCAGTGATTAATTCCACATTTATCAAGACTATATTATCCAAGAATTATCACTGGAGTAAAAAGAAAATATTTGGTCACTTTGTCTAATTATAACAGGAATCACTTGAGAGTTTTGATTTTCGTGTAATGCTGTGGTGGCGACCAAACCACACAAAAGAATAAATATTTAATCTAGTCTGGCAGTTATTGATTTTCCTTCTACATGTGTCAAAAAACAGTGAAAAGGAATTTTTCAGGTAGTCTTCTCTGGAACCTTTCCAACCAAAGAAAATCCATGATCATTCATAGAATTTGTGCCATATGGTCTTTGTCACCATAAGATATCAATGAGTACTAGAAAAATATAGCCAACTTACAGCCCACAGGAAACATTATTAAATTAATGGCTTCTGCCAGTTAAAGTCCTGAATTCTGCACTCACTAAAGTCAATGTGAGAACTCTTTAGCAGGCTAGGGTAAAAGGACTGGGCCTCTAATGACTGAGTTGAAGTAGTTTACCTTTAATTTATCCCCAAAAGTCAAAGCTTAAAATAGTTTTTGGAAAAGTGCAGATTGTATCCTCAAATTGTGCATTTCTCTGATATTTTCAGCCAGAAATATGACTCTGGATAGTTTGAAATTACTTTTATTACCAATATGATCACTAAATTATGCAAATCCAACCAACTAGACTTGCTCAGAAGAAATTCTCTTGAAGAGATCAACTCTATTTTTGCCCTTCCCAATCCCCACTCATAAGAGTACTTTGAAGAGCAGGGGAGTCTTCTGCTACAGCAGATAGTACTGTGGAAGAAAACAGCTTTTTCACAGAGAGAACAAGTACATCATTCAATGGCTGACATAGAGAAGGCTAGGAAAAATAGCGGAAAAATCAAGGACAAGAATTTTGCCCCCCAGGCCTTGTAGCAACTTGAACCATTTTGCAAATATTCCGATTTCCAAATAGATCTAGATCCAAATAGCACTAGGAGACGAGACAGAATAATAAAACTACTGCTATAGCTCCTCATTTGATACATATTCCACATATTTTTTCCAGCATGTGCCTTACTGCAGAGGATTTACATGTGCTTGAGAACAGCTGAGGATGCACCATCCAGGTATATAATGGATAACACACCTTGTATTGTGAAGCCATACTGTGTTTGAATGTAAGCAAAAATAAGGCAGTTTCTAGCCAAGCCACTTGATGCTGTTCTTGCAAATGTTTTTTGGTGAGGTAGAAAGAAAATATCTCCGGCTGTAAATGGAGCTACAAATAGGCTTTGTGGAACTGTGCTTGAGCTGTTAACTTCACTAATCAAAAAATTGTAACAATTTTTTTTTCTGGTGCAACATTTTAAATTTTTTTTACATATATATTTATACAATCAAATAAGAAGAAAAAATAGGAATATAAGAAAGTTAATATTTTAAGATTACTGGAAATGTGCAAGTTAGGAAACAAACTGATGCTGCTATGCTAGAGGAGCAATACTTTAAGAACCAGTGAGGTTTGTGAAAGAGTACATCTCATATAAATGGTTAAAAAACCCAGTGAGCTATTATTAAAAATCCAGTTGTAGTTAATCACACATATATTACTAAAATTAAAAAGCCTAATCTTGTAGTCCAATGAAATGATGAAAATCTTTTAATTTGCTTCATTGAGCTTTAAATCAGGGCACTCATGCAAGATGAAGTACTTAGAAATACTTTAAAAATTATCATTAATATAGTAGTAGAAATAAGAAGCAGAATCAAACCAGTTTTACAATATAGAAAGTAAAATAATGTAAATCTATACCTCCAGCCTCACACTGGCTAAGATGCATTAGCAAATATTGAATTGGGATTGTTCAGCCTGGAAAAGATCAGGCTGGGACTTAACTAGAGCCTTCCAGTATCTGAAGGGAGTCTACAAGAATGATGCAGAGGGACCTTTTACGAGGGTGTGGGGTGACAGGACATGGGGGAATGTATTCAAGCTGTAGGTTTAGATTAGACATAGGAAAAAATTCTTTACTGTGGGAGTGGTGAAGCACAGGTGTAGGTTAAACAGAGAAACTATGGCTGCCCTGTTCCTTAGAGTGTATGAAGTCAGGCTTTGAGCAACCTGGTCTTTTGGAAGGAGTCTCTGCTCATGGCAGTGGAGTTGGAACTCTGTTTCTTCCAACGCAAACCATTCTGTGATTCTATGAATCTAAAAAATGCTAGTGAGACAAACACTTCCTGTGCTAACAGTACAATTGTTAGTATTCTAGTATTACAGTTTTATTCATAATTATTAGTTCTGGAAGGTGTTCTGGAATTCTTGAAATGCTACTGTGAATAATTTGAAGACTAGCTGTCTTCATTTTTAAAACTACATTTAACCATTTAAAAGTGGGGTTTTTTTACAAAAGTGGGGCTAAAATCTTTGTAAATACTACGTTTGAGCAAGCAAGTTGAGATTGAAACTGTTGTATGAACTAATGTTGGGAATGGCAAAATTTTGTGGTATCATTTACAAAATAATTCAGGTTCCCTTCAAAAAGAAGCCATTATAGCATGGGCAAGTTTCAAACAACTACTGACTTAATATTTATAATAAATTCAATTCAATATTTCACATCCAATTTCAACTCCATGCTATAAGACAATTAAAATAAATATTATGACATTTATATATTGTTAGAATTATTGTTTTTTCACTTGTCTCACCAAAACTGGAAACTTTTAGGGAAAACACAAAATGCATCCATCACAAGGAACATTTTGCTGTTACACATAATTTTTTGACATAGGGACCACAAGTTACTACTAACAATACAATATTTAAAAATTCTTGGAAAGCATATTTAAGGACTATAATTTGTTGTTATGCCTAGGCTGATTTTTTTATAGCTTTATAAAATCCTCCATGACTAACAGCTTCTTTAAAAAATCCCATTATAGATGAAGAAACTTATAGATCAAATTAGTAGTACTATTATATTAATAGTAACTCAGTATCAAGTTCTTGAAAATCAGCTACTGAAGATTATTCCTAAATTGCAGCCAGGTCTAAGAAGAACATTAAGCATAGTATTAAATAATTATATGGAGAGGTTCTTACAATTGTGGATCTCCAGCTTCAACAAAACATTTACATCCATTCATCTACATCAAATATAAACAGCAACAATTTTCACCAATATTATTTAAAGATATCAGTCACTGAATTTTATTTTTGTGAACACAGGAAAGAAAATTTTCTAATTTATACTCATATTTTAACTAGCAGAGATAGTGTTGATAATATGTGACAGCTCCCTAGTCATTTTATTTAAAGCAGAGTTAAAAATTAGTTAATCTGTCCTATTGGACCTTTTTAGCCTTAGCTAAATACTGATGGTTTTATAACTACAACATGCTAGTATTATTGTATGTGGATTTTAGAATGTGTTAGGCTACTCAAATTCTTCTTAAAATTCAGACAGGAAAAAGAGGAAACTTTTTTATGAAGTAGTGTCTTTTTTATATGAAGGAAGTGAAAATAAAGACACTGCAAATGTGAAGGAGCAACACTAATTGGGATTTCTGAATTTAAATGAAAGTGCTCATATTATAATAACTCATAAGAGTTCAGAAAATATAGTACTAAAACCTGTGTCCTGTAACAACTCACAGGAGTGCTTAACCATGTATATTCCAGACTGAATTCAAAGCAAGTAGAGTAGAACACACACAGCAGTCTTTATAGAATAAAATCTTCCAGTAATAACTTCCTAACTGTGCAGTGTACTGAACTTGAAAACACTGTGCGTGAGGTTTCAGGTTGTTTACAAATAGATTTTTAATTTGATAGTCTAACATATGCTGTGCATATGTATATGTTGGTATATGCATAGGTACGCAGACTTATCGACTTTTTAATCACCTTCAATAAGAATTTACCTTATAAATATAATATGATGCTTAAGTCAGGTATTTCTGCAACTCACCTGTCTGTTACGTTCATCCATAATCCTTGTAATCTGAATCTTTTTTCTCCCCATAGTCCCCGTTTTTTTTTCTCTCCTTCTTCCTTAAAATTACGTATTTTTCCCTTCTCTTTTATTCCTCTTTCCTGTTTCCTCAAAACAAACCTCCTTCTTCAGCACTTGCACCACTCAGATCACAGTCCCCTGCATCCGTTCCTGCTAAACACAGAAAGGAAATCAAATGTTATCATGAAATTGATAACCAGAAGAAACTTATTACATGGAGGAAAAGAAAATTATTCAAAGGCTTACTTTTATGAAAGAAAACACCAAAAACAAATGTATCAAGAAATAAAGAAAAAGACTGAAGTACAAGTTGTGAAAATTTTAATGGAATTAATGTCTCTAATTTTAAATATCACTCAGAGCTCTAATATGAAAAATTACCTAAATCAGAGAGTTAATGAACTGTTCTGTATCTATGCTAGGCAGGCCAGCTAATTTATTTCTGAAGGGAAAACAATTTTGTGCTTTGACAGCAGAGGTGATAATTTCCCTCATTATGCAAATACAATGGACATGTATTTAAGTGTTCCTTGATATATAGGATTTACCAGCTACTTTAAATTCAAAGTTCTTAACTTTATTCTTTAAGAATATAATTAGTGAAAGTATTACTGAAGATACTTGAAAAAACACTAGGACCCTTTTCCCTCATTTCATTCTAGTGTAAATTCTAAAATGTTTTGCAAAGGATTTCTAAAAACACATGTTTTCTTATAAAACAGAACAATAGAGGCAGATGACAATTTTAAGAATGTTTTGAAAAATATTTTCACTGTTTTAGTAATGCATGAGCTTTACAATACTGGCTCTATCACAGAGCTAAGAAGAAAAAGGTACAGTACATAAAAATACACTCTGCAGGAAGCATATTTCACAAAATGTTATAAACCACATAATTAATTATGTAATATCCAAAGTATTTTAAAAATAAAATACTTTTATTTTAATAATAAAAGAGTCTATGGAAATAGTAAAAATTACCAGCATTATTTTGTCTAGTATAAAGTAAAAGACACAAGTTTTTCTGCTTTATAATCTCAGTTTACCATATTAGTATATTTTTGTATGTTTTAAGTGAACAGCACAAAGGCTTTTGAAACACAGAATAGGAAAAAGAAATCTGAACAATATGAAGTTAAATGTTCTTCTGAAGTATAATAAAAAATATTGTCTTGGAAGTAAAAAATTGGTAATTTTAAAACAGAGGCTGGTATTTCTTCATTTATTCTAAACTTATAGTATCTCAGCCAACCTGATAAATTCTCATAATATAGTGCATAACACTAAGCTGAAGTCCTGCTCATTTAATCCGTTATTTGGCTCTAATTCAAAGCTACTGAGGTAGGAAAATTAGATCTCTGGTCTTTGATTCTCTTTTGATTTTCTTAGCATACATTAACTTTTAGCTGTTCAAGTGTTTTATCACTCACTAAGGAAAAAAATATTAACAAATAAGCAGTCAGTCTGAGTTTTCTAGGTAGCTACTATAGTGCAATTAACCTGTTGGGCAAAACAAATCTTCAGGTATAGTACTTATTATATTTCTATATATTAATGTCTTTTTTATATTATTTTCTTAAACTATTTGTATATTGTTACCATAATGCAGAAAACAAAAAGTGGAACAATTCATATTGTAACTGTAACAAAATATAGACTGCAAAAATTCTTAGCTGCATTTTATATTTGAAAGCAATAGCTACTCACTGCTTAAATAGGTACAAAGGTTCTTGATCCTGCAGCAACAACAAAAAAAAAAGACGACCAAAAATTTGAAATAAATTTATTCTGTAAATGTATTTTTAAAAGCTTTTATTCCAAACAAAGTTAGGGGACCATCTTATCGGATTTTCAGTGTTGACAAACAAACCCAGTCTATTTTTAGAAACAGTTTTACATTTCCTTGGTTTGGGTTTCTTTCCTGTTTTTCCTATAGTCTTACCTCCAACACAAAGCACAAATTAGAGTGGTGTTTCCCATGCACATGCAGGACTCAGAGTCCAACTGTCTTTCTCTGCAGAAGCAAACCCATACGCTAATCCACAGCAAGTGGAAACTTCCTTTTCTTTCATTCAGCTGAGGCCAGTGGTGCTATTGGTTTACAGCAGTGTCTGCCTAAGCTATTCACTGCAGTGAAGGTCAGGGTGGGCAGATTAAAGCAGTTATGGCTGGTTTGTGAAGATGAGCTGCTCTGCAGATCAAGATGCTGATGCTTAGTGAGTTCAGAAAAAATGTCTTAATACTGAGAAAACTCTGTCAGGAAGGATAAAAATCACAGCGGAGGAGCAGTATGTTAAGTCCCTCCTACACACTTACCAGTTCTACATTTAAGACCAGTCTTCAAACAACAACAGCTTTTACAGACAGTTTAAACTCAGAACCTTAAAATTCCTGTAATCTACACAAAGTTATCTTAAAGTAACTCTCAGAAGGCTTGATAAGCAGAATTTTATAGAAAAACTATGATTAGGTCATCTGTATGAAACATATAATTTGCAAAGAAACATAAATTTGCTTCAATGGGCAGTGAGTTAGGTTTTTTGCATGGATGAAAAAAAAAATCTTTCCTCCTATGTGCCCTAGTTTGCCTTTTGCTTACTAGTCCAATTTCAAATAAAAGCTTTTGAATTTTTTATAAAATTTATTTCCTTTTAGAACCCCCCCATCCCTACCTATCAACACATAGTCTTTCAAGTGCTATTCTTACTATCTATTAGCTAATAGTTCTATGTATTTCATTAGTATATACACAAAAAAAGTTTGTAGGACTGATTCCCAATTAATGAAATTCAGATAAGTAAATCAAGTCATCTCATGCAGGGCTATAACCTGCAGAGCTTGGTAATTTCCAAGTCAAACAGAATGTAAAGAACTGTGGAGACCGGCTAATCCCCATGGCTGCTTAGGATTTCACCAGTGCTCTCAATACCTTTTGAAAGTTCTTGCAGAACTAAGGATTGCAGTAAGTAAGTATTTAAAGTTCCTGTTAACTGGTAAATTGTTATTTTACTAACACTAATAAAGCACATTGACTAGAAAAGTTGAATGTACTACAAAAATCAAATAGAACTGCAGGCTTCAATTATCCAAGTGAATTAAAAAATCAGCTTTGTTGAAGTAGCTCCACATTAAAAAAATGTTCCAACTTCATAATATAGTCATGTGCAAACAAATTACATTTAAAGAAACATGGAATTAAATGATATTTTGTTACAATTTTCTGCATTTTTTGCAAAGCCAAGTAGTTAAAAAAAATCAAAACCAAAACAAACCAGACTGCTTAAAAAAAGAGGAACTTTATTTTTGGCAGGCTTCTGTTGATTATATGATTCGGCAAAAGGCAATGGTAGCTGACAGAAGATTGATCTGAGCCTCTAGAAGGGAAAAGAGCTAAAGGAAAATGCAGCAAATTGCTTGACTGATAATGTCTCTCTTTTGAGCACTGACACACAGACAGATGCACACACATACACACATATGCACACCCACACACACATATGCACACCCACCTATCCCTTCTCTGCAACACAGAAGAATCTTGACAGAATGGCAGGAAGCACGCACAGAGCAGTCAGGGAAGGATATTATGTCAGCAACCACGAACAATAAAAGGTGTAAAGGTGCTTCCTTCCCTAAACTGTTCCAGAAGTGCAAAATGGGAACCAAAACTGTCCACTTCCTTCTCTGAGCAGAACAGTCTGAATTTGCTGTGCTGCAACACCCCAGACAGAGAATCCTTTGAGCAGTTACACCAGGAGAAATAAGGAGTATCAAAACAAGGCAGTAAAAATATTTTATTTATAAACAAAAGAAAGAAGGCAGTCAGAGAAAAAACAAGGTAAAATGTGCTAGAGTTTATAACATTTTCATGGTTGGTTTACAAAAGTAACAAACTTGTCATAAAGATGTCCTTGTTCCATTAAGCAGCTTACATTCTCAGTTGATTAATTAGGTAAAAAATGAAGAACAAAATAATTTTTAAAAATTATGCTGATAAAAGGAAGTAAAGAAAAAAGTGCTGTTCCCTTTCTCCTACCATTCTTATCTTGATATATAAAAGTAACTTAAAAGGTCTATGACATTTTTTAATGCAAACTTGTTTTATCAAACAAGTTTTGAATCTGTGCCTAAAAATGAGAATATGTTGAGTAGGACCACATAATCTACTTTTCCAATGAAAATTAGCTGCAAAAATGTAACCATGAACATTGACAATGAGGGACACATATTAAGATAAAATGGTCACTCACATGGTTTCTGCAAAATCCTGACTAGGTTCCACACACGTACAAAGACAGCTGGGCATACTGCATCAGTTGAAGACATCACTCACTGTCACCGTGAGTTTGGTATAGTTTAAAGAAATGCAGAGAAGTGTGAAAATAATTATCTATCATGTTATCTGACTGAAATCAGCTGACATTAAAGATAGAAGTGGTTCTTACCATTTACATGGTGGTTTGGTTGCATGGTCATAACAAAAGACAGAGTTTGGGCCATTACCCTAAACCCAGAAGGTTATGATAAAATTATACATATCATCACCATGGCAATATACCAGTAAAGCAGCAATGGTACAGTCTACAGTATGTTTCTCCAGGTAGAAAGCCATGTAAAAATTAATCAGAGTCTTCCTAAACTTTCAAACCTCTGTCCACAACATTCTGATCTGGAAATTAAACATAACCTACACTTCAGTGTTTTGATCTTATGGGCAGGCTGCCATATGAAAAGGTTGAAAAGGAGTTAATTATAATCAACTAAATTTAACTCTCAGGAGATCATGTATTTGGCTACAGGAAATATAAAACAAACATTTAAGCCATAAGAGAAAAATTATTATAGATGAAGTACTAGAGACTACTAGAGAGACTGCATGTCAAACCAAAAAAATCTGTACATAAAGAAAATATTTGTAATCTGTAACTACCAAGGCTTATTATATTATCAATTACCTAACCTGACTTCTGACTTATGGCATAAGCCTAATTTATAATGGGGGCAATTCCAGGGCAATGAAGTTTTGAACCAAGGCAGGAGTAAAATGTTCATGAAGTTGCAAACTACAAAATTATTCCCAATATGTAAATTGTTACTTAAAATTTTAAAAGAAAACTTAAATTATTTGATTTGAATTCATATTTCGTTAATTT